CAGGGGCTTAAGTGGAGAGCAAATGTTTTGAGAATGATAAATACAATGAATGTACAAACGTGCTTTACACAATTGGTGTATGTTTGGATTGTGTTGAGTTGTATGTGCCTTTAATAAAATGATTAAAAAAATAATTTCATCACTAGTGATAATTATTTTTTATTCATCCATAAGAATAGATCATTTGTATAATTGTTCATTTTCTTAGTATTTTCTACCCTCTCACAATTTGTATATATTATTGAGGACAAAACAAGTACTCAGAGACTTGATCATTTCTTTTTGAGTTGAAGACAAATTGTGGGTATCTGTCCAAAAGAAACTGGTACTCCATAGATTTGTGATGTTTATTTTCTGACCTCTTATTACATATATAGACTGACAAGATATTTGCTTATATATGACTCTACTAGAGAAAAATCGAAGTACTGATAATATTGTGCTAACATTTAAACTGACTACCCAAAAACTTACTTGTAACCGAGAGAATGCTTATAATATAGTTATGAAGGGCAGTTCACAGATATCATTTAAGGAAGCACATAAGTAACTTTAACTTCATATTAATACAAATGTCATGGTGTAAACAATCCACTTGGAGAAACCTAAATGGAAGTTTACAGGGAGGAATGGAACATGAACGTGAGATCTAGAAATGTTGCAGTTTTCTGGCTAGTCAGAGATTGATTAGGTTACGTTATGTTGGTATATTGTCTGCTTAGAATGCATGCCCTGGAAGTTTGTGAGATAGGATGAATCTAGCTAATTAGGATAAATCTGTTTATAAAAAGTAGTATAGGGCATTGAATTATGTAGACTGTAAATGAGTGAGGATATTGAAATTGTTCATAGGAAAGTTGTAGACATTTAAGTAGGGATGTGACACTTCATGAGAGCAGTTTTTATGGAGGAGTTATGTGGTACTTGTAGAGTTATTGGCAGGCCTCAATAATCTGCTCATTTTGCCCATTGGATTGGAACCATGATCAGCTTCTGACAGTGGAACCCTAGCTTCACTATAATTTCATAGTTGCATTATTTTACCCGTTATTTGTTACTAATTAATTTTTCTTCAAGTTATACGATACTAATGAAATTACCTAATATATATA